ACTGGACATGTTGTAAAGACTGTTAATGGGACATATTTCAGAATCAAACTATCCACTACGCAGAGACTGGATGTATTTTACTTTTTTGTACACTCTCTCCTGCTTGTGTGAACATCTGAGTCGTCTGCACGTGTAGAATTTGTGACTGCAGACCCTCCCCTCATCTGATTTTCATGATCTGGCAGAAAATAAAGGAGAATCTGATTTTTGAGCATCCAGAGCTGTCACTCGCTCAATACATCGGCTTGTGATCAGTGGACGAATGTAAGCTCAAGACAGACGGAAGAAATATGTCACGATTTTCTTAAGACCAGCACCATGATTGGAACAGTTATCCATCAGTGTTGGGATTACCAGTTTGTTCATTCACTTGCACCATTCACTGATTGATAGGCTATAGTTTTATGATACTAGGTGTTTTAATTACTTTAACTAGCGACCAAAAAAAACATTTCACATGGGAAAGACAATAGTTCTTTGTTTTTGTGAATGTATAACTGAACCTGTTAAATTTCTACATGAATTGACAGAATTTTCTGTCAATCAACTAACAAACTAGTGAATTATTAATGTCATCAATGTAGCACGGATTTTTAAAAAATCATAGTGCAACAAGTTAGAAAGCAAGAAGAATCCCAAACCCAGTGGCTAACTTGTTTTTGGCACAGAATGATCACATAAATAAGTAATTTTAATTTCTAACATACAGCTATGCAGATCCTTCTACTAACCCAAATAGCACGTGATTTCTCTCTGAGCGGTTGCCCTCACTGAAAAGGATATGAGGGCAACAAAAAGGTGAGAGAAGAAGAGATGGGTAATAGTGAAAGAAAAATGTATGGAGGTGCAACAGTCGTGTTTAAAATGACTCAGCCAAGAAAACACTGCTAGAAACTATGATAAAGAGAAAATGAACCTATGTAACTGACAAATGTTGCACAACAGGTCACATTCTGTAGAAATATGTTTGACTTGGATGATACTTGCCAACTGGCTTGTGGTCATTGGTCAGGGTCGGTCCATGTTTGACTGACTGTTGCCAAAGTCACCCTACACAAGTGGTGTGCATGGAGATTTAATGGTGGCATTAGTCAGTTGGCCATGACAGGCAACGGCACATACTTTTACAGCAATATTTAGCATTGGTTGCAGCAGGGCCATATGGCAGTGCTTGTTGTAATATCCCTTTAAAATACAATATGACGAGGCAATTTAGACTGGCAGAAAATCCCTGATGCTCAGAGGGAAAATGTTGTCTGTGATGGAAGAGTGGCAGCCACCCAGATTAAAATGGACAAAGCTTTAATGTGTGGTAACAGCCTACATCTGGCTCTATGTGAGCTGGGAGGCCTACAGCTGCAACGACTAGTCGATTAATCAGTCGACAGAAAAATAATTCATCAGATCAGATTTGTGTTGCTCGTTGAAATCATGCAATTTGATAAACTCACTTTATACTACATGAAAATTTGATGCGTATTTTTCATTGTTTTTATTGCATTTTTAATTATGTCTATGAGGTATTGATTAATCTAGGGAATAACCAAAAGAATAGTCTATAATAACAATAACTACAGCTTGAGAGTATAACAAAAACGTTTAACCTTATGTAAAGTTCACCAAGTACAAAGGTGTCGCATTGCGTGTAATACAAAGCGCCATGTCATGTGACATTTGGCATAGATGCCAATGGAGAACAGTGAATGTGCTACAAAGCAGAAAACATTATAGTACTAGATAGTATATCCTCCTTTTCAGAGAAAAGGAAACAAGTAGAGCTGCCTCAAAACACCAATGACTCAAATCATTAGTAATAAACATCCTCAGTCGAATTTCGTTATTTTGTCGTTGTAGAGAGCGCAATGCAGAATAATATGGTTCACTACAGACCTTGAATAAAACAGACTTGAACTTAAAATGATCTAAATATGAGACTACATCTTATGATGGATACGTCTGTATTAACTGCATGACTGCTCTCAGCTGCGGTGCTAAAAACAGCAAGTTAGCTTAACTACTATTGAACCAGATATTGATGCAACCTCCTCAAAACAACTACAGTTCCATCAAATGGTGAATATTCTCATGCGTACATTTAGGTTTCTAATCACCATTGAATTTACCCATTACAATAGTAAATGTACATGTAAATGAGACAACCGTTAGTCAAACCAACACAGTGTTAACTGACATCTCTTTTGATCAATGATTAGTCATCCATGTCATCTTTTATGCAAAAATGGCATAACTGTTCTTTTCAGACACTAAATTATTCCAATTTAATGAAAGTGAATATCTTTGGGTTTTAGACTAATGGTCAAGTCACAGCTGAGAAACTGAAATTGTTCATTATTTCCTTAGATATTGTGGTCTTCTGATATTTTGTATATTCATGTTATACTGAATAAAAATAGAAAAATGTACCTTGGGCGAAAACCTGATATGCACAAATGCATAGAATGTCTTACAAAATAACTGCAGTCATAGATTAAAACAGAGCCTACACAAACTTATGTAGAAATCAAGATTATTTTGTGTATTCACTTCATCCTGAAGAGCTTTCAGCTTCAGAGGCTTATGTAGAGCTTTAGACATGGAGCCTCATCTATACATGTGTGCCATCATTTCAATGTCACACACCCATAAGAGTAAACCGAATGAAAACCATTTGAATTTCACAACAGAAAACATACTGCAATGATCACCCCATCCTAACAGTAAAAACCATTAGTTTTGTGCTAAGTCTCATTCATTGTCAGACAATAGACACTTGATGCATCCTCAGTTGCCATGTACTCTTGTAGGATCTTCATCTATTCTCATGTTTTTGTTTTGTAACCATAGTTGGCTATTTGGAAATTACCACAACCTCATCATGGACAAGAAAAGACTACTGAGAGGAGCCCAGAATGCTTACGTGTGAGAGACACAATTACATAACAGTAGATTTTACACTGAGTTTTTAGTTAGAAAATCTGACTTCAACGTATTCAATGTTTCTGAAATACCCTAGTATCTTTTTTCTGCAAATGTTTGATGAACATTGGTCCCACATAAAGGATGAAGTAACAAATACTGTTAATAGAGTGACAAACCCTTATATTGAAGCTTTAGTCTAACGAACAAGATTCATTCTATAGCACTTTGTAATTACAGAAATAATTGAGAAAGTAAGTCATGTGGCTCACATTAGTAATGTCTAAATTCAGAGTGTCATGGGAGACAGAAAGTACACAAGTCGTCAGACAACCGAGAGTACACCAACAGAGGCGGTTTATCGATACGCACCATGTATCTGGTTTAAGTTCTGGTAATGAGTGAAATGAAAGAAGCAGTTTTCATTAATAGAAGCAAAATGCTTAGATTTCCATGGTACTGAGGAAGGTTAGTGTTACCCTATCACAAATTAAAAAACAAAGCCTGACGCCACAACAACAGCAAATGGCCGAACGTTGGTTGGAACAAGTCAGTACGCAGTTTTCATCCGGAGGTATCCAGATGATGTGCTGTATTCAGACACCTCCTGTAGCATTACACCTCCAGTGACGGATCAAATGTTAATTTCACATACATTCTAACACAGGGTCCATGAAGATATCAAGCTCCTTTTCTTTATATCAATGACTTGATGATATAATCATTCATCGATCATGGACTGATTTACTTTAATCTGACCTATTAAGCATAATTACTGTGTGATTCAGCCACAAAAAGGTGAACTGCTCTCTTGTGATGTTGAGATCACAAAATAATAATAATTTAAATAGAATAACATGTGTCAAATATATATATATATATATATATATATATATATGGATGCCTTATCCTACCCAACAAGCACAGTTGTGTATATTTAGGCTTTCTCTGCTTTTCCTTGACACAAGACTTGTGGTATATTTCCACTAGACAAGGTGAATTAACTGTATAGTCGTATTAATATCATGTGATACCGCTGCATGGGTGTTCTCCTCCCTCCCAATATTAACACTACACAAATACATGTGTGGGAGCATTAATGATAATACTGCTATGATTGTGTCGGTCTCGTGGTGCATGTCTGCACTTTAACTTGGAGGCGAGCTGTAAACGTGAGGCTGACGTTGTGTTGCTCCAGTCGTTGCACGGACAGCCATCTGAAAACAGGCAGCTTTTGTGTCAGAGGCAACACACCCCCCCAGAAAATGTCACAGTCGCTGGGGCTGGGAGGCGCAAAAAAAAAAAAAAAAAAAAAAGCCTCCCGGTTCTTCGAGCCACGCTAGTTCCTTGTGGGCATTAGAGAAGCCTCGCTGTGAATTAACACGAGATTCGAGAGGTGATCTTGTCTGAAAGTGTGTAAATAAGCGGCGGCGCTGGCTGGATCGTTGCAGACAACACCACCCGCCTCACGGTGATGTCGCCCTCCTTCAACACACAGCCAGCAACGGTGGAGCCCCGCACACGAGCCTTTATTGATTGGATGTGGTGAATTGGGTTCATGGAGAGGAGATAGTTTATTAAATGTAAGTTCTGGTTGATGTTTAAACGGTGATATCTAACACGAGAGCTCCGAACAGGCTGAGACAAAAGCCCCCTGCAGCCCCTCCGCTGCCCTCACAACGCCCCCCCCTCCCCAGCGCTTAATCTAGCTAGCTAGCTTCGCTCCCAGCCCCGCACGGGCTCCCTCGGCTAAAGCAGCTCGCTCCACGTCGCCCCGACATTTTCCCTCTCGGCTGGCCCCTGGACTCTCTCTTTCACACGCGCGGGGAGTCGCGGGTGGAATCCCGGTTGGCGCAGGGTGAGCGCTCGGTGTGTGTACGCACGTGGCGCACGACCACACCGAGGAAAACACACAAACATTCCCCCTTTTTTTTTTTTCCCCCGCACGCACTTTACGTCAGGTTAGCTTAGCGCTAGCCCGCCCGCTGTAGCCACACGGCTAACGCTCACTCGGATCCAAACCCCCCTCCCTCCTCACGTTCCGACGCGGTCGCACAACACAACCCGCGGGTTCGGGCGCTTACCTTCAACCGGGGTTTCGCGTTGCCGCCGCCTCATTCGACTGTGGGCGAGCAGATATTCCCTGGATGTCGGACGGTAACCGTAGCCTACGGCAGCGTGACGTTCGTCTCCGGGTTTGAAAACATCGCAGCCGCTCGTTCCGTCCTCTCCGAGAGAAGCCTGGCAAAACACAGGAGCGCGGCGCCGATTGGCCGAGGGGGCGTCACGTGACCGGCCGAGACCCACCGAGCTTATAAGGCGCCCGTCCGCTGGAAACACCGTAAAGATGGGTACGTGTCAAACCCGCTCAAAGTTCACGTTACCGCCGAATCCGCGCGTTTAACGCGAGAACCTCCGCAGCGCCGTTTGTCAGCGGGTCGTGTTTAGTGTGTACGCGGCGAGAGGTGAGTGAATCTGGGCTGAAGGGGAGAGAACGGGCTCGGGAACTTGACGTCATCTTTTTCCGTTGCTGTGCTGCGGTCAGTGCGAACTTTCTGGAAGCTCACGGTTAACGGAGGGATGGCGGCCGCTGTTTTTATTTCATTATTATGTATTTCCCCCCTGAGCCCTGCTACACATGAAGGCAACAGTTTCGTTCACGACACGATGGCGTAAATTCGCCCTTTCAGCCCGCCATTTTTTTTTTTTGTTGTATCGGAAAGGCTGGAGTCGGTGGCGCAGTGACATTTGCATCATGGAAGATTGTACGCGCATGCGCGGTGGTGCAGGATGTTCCGTGTTGCGGAGCAGGCTTGAGTGGGAGAGGGGAGGGAGAGAGAGGGGGGGTGGGGGAGAGACCGGCGAGACACGATAACGCCAACGGGGCGAGATGGAAGACGTGTCGGGAGAAGAACTGTGTGATGCACGTGGAACAAAACACACGTGCAGATTAAGAAAACTTAAATTTGACGACACGTGCGCTGCAAAGAAAAAAAAAAAAAAAATCACAATACAGAATTGTGTAAATGACACCGGAAATGTTTCCAGGGGACACAGAAAAGTGCTGAACCTGCTGTGGTTCAATGTTAATCAAGTCTGCTGCTCGTCAGTGACTCAAAGCCCAATATCTGATTATAATGCAGGAAGTATATTTGTGTTGTGTATTATTGAACCTTTTGTTTGGTGGGGCGGATGTGGAAACATTTGATGTCGCAGTTTCACGATATAGAAATAAAGATTTCTAGAGAATGTGCTGACATTTATTGAATTATGACTTGCTGTATTGTTTAAGCTGGTATATTGAATAATCCTGACTGGTTATATCTTGATGATTCTTCAAAAAGCACCAGTGTATGATTCGTCTCTGCATCATGTGGCAAAACTAGGTGATATTTGACAATGTCTATTTTTCTGGAACACTTTTAGGTTATTTTGGGCAGTAGAAGAGTTCTAGTTAGGAAAATGTTTGAATCCCACATGGCTGAAATAACTTATGGAGGCAATTAAAAGACACAGCACAATCATACCAGTTCTCAAAATAATAGATTATTATTCATTCCATAAAATCATCATGTTGTAAAGTGTCCCTGACATATGTGGTTGTTCTCATTACAACAGTTAATCAGAGTTATTTGAGCTTTTCCTTGTTGGAATGTGTGATAAGTAACACACCGACACCCACAGCACAGGTATATGAACAATTTATTTACACCACATGTTTGAGTTGAACGTAGTATCAGCTTCAGGGACAAGTTGCTTTTGAATAAAAGCAGACGGTAGCTGAGAATGTCTACAGGTCCGCTCTCACTCCGAAGCCTGGTCCTTTAGGAGGCTCTGACAGAGAAGTCAATCCTCCTGCAGGCTCACAGGAGAAACGACCGTTCCTGTAATCAAGAGAAAGTGAATGCATCTTAATGTAAAGCCAGAGTATGTTCGACTGCGTTGATGAGATGAACAATGTTTTTTTTTACCTGGGTCCAGGTGGTGGGACTCTGCCTGCTTTTAGTTCATCTATAATTTCTTCAATGTCTTTAGGTGCTAGGTCCTCCTGGAAAACAGAAGAGAGCAACATGAGGATTGTGCACTAGATTTCATTGCTCTTGTGCAACATCATTAAGGTCTCTACAGTTTTTTCGGTTCATATGCTTTAGCCTGCATGAACACTATGTCCGACCTATTTGATTGAATCTCACTTTAAAGTGAGGGGGAAATTTAGGAAGCAATCCTTTAAAGGAGTTTATGATTATCGCTGCCATTGACATTTTCAAATCTAAAAATAACTATTGTCAGGATCATGCTGGGATTTACAATAATTTTCACAGCATAGTACTGTAAAACAGGGGGCTGTAAATTGTTTACAACCAAAACTAGTTCAGATTCAGCAACCGTTTTTTTCACATCCATATTTATCGTTGGCTTGTAAAAAGCCTTTAACGAAATACATGTTAAAACTGTACTACATACAAAAGACAATAAAACTGGTTTTACTTGTCAGCTTAGTTCAAATCTACTTATACAGAAAGTCACTAGTCAGCACTAGCCAGGTTTAAACTGTGACAAATAACAACTGAACTGATGTAATAGCCAAAGAATGGGCGTATATGGGATAATTATTATTATAAAATGCTGAATTCAGTCCAGCCATACACATCGTACCTTTTCTACCATAGCAGTTTGAGCTGTTTAAATAGTTTAAAATAGTATATAAATAAATAACTCATACCGTTATATCTATTTTCAAACTGAGTTAAATGATAATGTGATATTCCAGCAATATTATGATGAAATCAAGACGCTCTGCATCTACACAGGCTTCCAAAAAAAAAAAAAAGGTTGCATTCCAGGCATCAAGCTGACAGATTCTCTGCAGACATTCTTTGCAAAACTCACTTCAGGCTTTAACCCGATATTGCTAAGTTAGTTATGATGTTCAGTGAGGACGCTATCTGCACTCACATAATAGTTGTCGTTGATCTGGACCATTGGAGCATTCACACAGGCACCTAGACATTCCACTTCTATAAGTGTGAACATCTTGTCAGGAGTCGTCTCTCCGACCTTGATACCTGCGGAGAAACAAATGAAGACATGCTTTATCTGTGGCTGATCTCCTGACAAGCAGCAGATCATGTTACTGAACTCATTAAGTGACTATAGACTGGAACACTAGATGTAAAAATAATCTCAATGTTTAGTTGACTGAAAAATCAAATAAGAGTGTGCTTTATTAAATGTCACACAGACTTAGACACAGTAAGCAGTCGTCTGGCTTGATTTCAGTCTCGCCTCCTCAGCGTGCTGCTAGGGCTTGTTGTTGTTGTTGTTTGAATAGCACAGACAAGTGTACATTTACACGTTTGTTACCAATCTCTGTTTAATAAAATATACACATAATAAAATAATAATAGTTTTCAACTGCGTTTGCATCTCTTCATTGGAGTTCATCAGTAAAATGGTTCTCTTACCGAGTTTGTTTTGGATGGCCTCCAGGATGCTGTCTGAGTTGCAGAGCATGCAGGGAGTTGTTGTGCAGATCTGAATGAAGTATTTTCCCACGGGCTGACGCAGGAACATCGTATAGAATGTCACTACTTCATACACTCTCATTGGAGGGACTTCCAGCACCTCAGCGACCTGAATGAAAACAATTAAAAACTTTCAACGAGGTTACCTTACATGACATAAAAGACCTTGTTTTGTATTGGTCTTAATAAAAATGTTTGGAACAAATTATTCTACAGAAAATAGCTCTAAAATGAATTCCAGAAGAATCAGTGCCTTGTTCATGGCAGAGATGGGTAGCCATCCATGTTGCCTTTGGGCTAAATCCAACACTGGGATGGTGGCTGCTTGCTTGTGTCCTTCCGGGTACATTGAAATGATCGACTCAATCCTCTACATGGGAAAAAAGACATTTTATTATTAGATGTGAATTTTCTCACAGCTCAGAATAACCACATTTCATTCCTTTTTTGGACTCATTAATACAGAAGAAAATAAGATATGTTTATCTGAAATATATAAAAATGCACACTGCAGAAAATATAAGAAGAAAATGTTCTGTGCACCCCCAACATTTCCTGCTCAGCCCAGGTGTCAATCTTACCTTCTTGTTCTCCTCAGTGAACTCAAAAGGAGTATCAGGGTTGTTGTCAGGAGTGTCTCTGTGCTAAAACAGAAAGACAACAGAGTTAAAGGACATTATTTACGCCAAATGTATAATTATCTATAGTCACAGGCGATTAAGAATGTGAAGATGCTCTTAGAGATTATATTTTACTCAACAATTACCACTTTCATTTTTGAGTTAAAGGCTTGTGAGCGGGATCTAATAGTATCTGATAAAATATGAATAACGCATCATGTGAGCCCAGAGGGGAAACTTGTGCTACTATCAGTCCATTGAGAAGACTCAACACATATATGTTATTTCTGCTTCTGCACACACTGCCCCCTTGTGAGCAGCAAACATACTCTGAGCAACTAAAAAAGATAATTTCAATTTAATGTTTGATGTATGTTATAGAAGTCTAAAACGTTCCTGGTAAAAGATTAGTAACATAATTCACCCATCCCCTGCTTCTTATCCTCTCAAAAACATCTTTATTATCAAGAGACTGAAACCATGGCATGTTTCCATTACATGAGAATATCACATGTGCTGTTTTCTGTTGCACAGCATGACTTCAACAGGCTCTAAAGGCAGCACTGCACATGAAAAGGAGCCTTTGGAAAATGGACCTTTGGGAATTTTTAGCTAAAATTGAAGCTGAAACATTTCTGATTTCTGCATCGATCGAATTTACACATGAGATTTACTAGCTAGTTGATTTTGAAAAAAAAAACAAATGATGTAAGCATAAATAACAGATAACTAAAATTAAAACTCTGTCATTAATTGTGTTGGTGGAATATTCAGCTGGCCTACTTCATGAAGAAAAACTAAATTAGATGCACAAGTAACAACCTCAGTCTCTGTAAAAAGCAGTAGTTCTGTTTGCCCATGTAAAACACATCAAATCGCTGGATTGACTGCAGGGATAGAAGGCTATAGAGGACAGTAATGATGACAATAAGCAGTGACATAGATCAAGACAACACTGCATATTATTTTGAACACTGAAAATACACATTTATCTAACAGATTCCAGCAGAAGCACATGAACAAAATGTCAATTAACTTTGAATACAGTACTGAAAACTTGTCTAACTATTATTAACCCACAATATTCATTTCAACACTAGAAGCCAATTGTGACGTGTTCATCAGACAATGAACACTTACACCACAGCACTATTTTCAGCTCTAGATTATTTGCAAAGAAACTCACCACAAAGATGCCACCTGCTCCAGCGCGTGCAGCCGACCGATGCAGACTCCTGACCTGCCTGGCCTGCAAACACAGACAGAAAGAAGACACATGAAATATCTGTTGATCTGTGATTGATACTCCAACATTCAAAGAAAGTTTTAACAGGTTTGTCTCCCGTTTGGACAAGAAACAACAAGAAATATCTGGAAAATAAAACCTGTGTTGCCGTTATTTACTTCTGAGACAGTAAGTTAAATCCTTAATTTTACATAAATTTTGATGGTAAATTACACACAAATAAAATGACCATAAGCTTACTTACTTTCTTATCATGATATTTAACTTTATAAGATAAGATAGAACTTCATTCATAAAAAAAGGAAGTTCTAGTGCCAGATCTTACTCAAAAGTTGAATCAACAAAGAATAGCAAAATACAATAAGTCAAGTTAGATATATATCAAGTCTAATGAG